ATAAATCTTGGATCAGTGATGATGTGGGCCGCAGACTGTAGATAAATTTCACAGAACATAACCCCATTCACTGTACTGAACGCTAAATTCAAGTAAACTAATCCGAGTCTGTCTGAGTCAGTGATTGTTTTGACGAGAAAGTGAAATTTTCCAGAAAAATGAAACGCTTTATCCTGGTGATACTGTAATACAAGAAAAAACTGTTAACAGTTTTTAATTTTTAAGTGTACATTTGCTTTCAGTACTCCTTATTTTTCTTGTAATTATTGTATGCACGACCCCACCAGCAATGCTGATCTTTTTATCGTGCCATAAACTAAGGTTCTTACGTACGTACGTACGTACGTACCTACCTATCTATCTATCTATCTATCTATCTATCTATCTATCTATCTATCTATCTATCTATCCATCCATCCATCCCTCCTCCCTCCCTCCCTCCCTCCCTCCCTCCCTCCCTCCCTCCCTCCATCCATCCATCCATCCATCCATCCATCCATCCATCCATCCATCCATCTACTGAATTAACTGTGTATTGTATAATGTTCTGTTCAACTTACACTTTGTTCCTGTGCTGAACATATACTGTACCGAGCCGTATCTTGGTCCGGTACAAAGAAGCTATGTATATTTATACTGACAGAGTCATGGGTCCCTGATACCGATACAAATCATCGTTCAATTTTACGAGTGTAAGAAAGAGTACTCCTCAATGGAGCAATATCAATATGTAGAAGGTTTTCAAAGGCTTCAAACCGGTTTGAGGCTAAGATGTGCAGCTTGTCTTGCAATTTTTACTTTTTGAGTATATACATTATGACATACAACACTCGTTTTGTATTCCAAACGAAAAAGTGGTATAACGGCACCTGGGCCTTTGACATTAAAACTCATCTCCAAGCAAGCGAGACTCAACGCTACTAAGAGCGTTCTTGTTGGTTCTAAAACCTGAGCTTCTAGTTGACACAACATTAATTCATTCCCTGTTTGCATACGAAGACAAATGGTCGAACGGATTCATCCAAATAACTGAATAAGCCACAACAGATACCACAGGGTCCAGAGGAGTTTCGTGTGAATAAATGAATTACTTACCTTGAAAAATGTCTATACCTGTCGCTTAGCACGATTAATTAGCCCAATGGGATCTTTATAAATCTACTGTAAACGATTTCTTCGCTTCTTATCTGACCCAGATCGACTTTTGAAAATCAATAACCGCAAGCCATATCCTTGCTGGCGCACGGCACGTCGCCCGAAGGGTGACCGAAGGCCGTCGCCCGGAGGGCGACCGAGGCACGAAGTGCCGAGTAAAAGAAAGGACAAGGGAGGAAACTTGCACCGCGTGACTTCGTTCTATGTGAACCGCAGCACTCGGTGACGGAAGTCGGAATGAGACCGGAAACGCAAAAGCAACAGACCGCTGCTAATTCGAGAATCAAAACATCAGCTGCGGAGAGAGTTTTAAAGATCTCAGAGATCTATGCGAAAACAACAGAGTTTTAATTGAAGTGAAGATCTTTCAAGACTGGACATTTGTTGTACGTTTCAACAGTCTTCGATGTCTTAAGCAGGGTTTGCTTGTGCGAAGGCTTCCCAGTAGTCGCAAAACGCACAGCCAAAGACGCAAGAGGTAATATAGTTGGACCACCGAAGAATGGCACAGTCGTGATGATATTACAGTTGCCTTGTACGCCCGCTCTACTCAGTGTTACTTTTTATTGCAAGAGTACACACGACCCGTAAATCACTATCCGTAATAATTTAACATTCTCCAAACAAAACTAACAAGCTGGGCCCAGCGTGATACAGCATTGAAGAAAAACATTACATTCACGGACTAGAGAAAATCGCTTAGTTATTCAGATCCAGAAGGCACTTTGGAGAAAACTGGAACCCTTGTTCAGCTGTAATAAAAAGCTTTACGCTTCAAAAGAGGTCAGAGAAATTGCGCTTTCATCAGAGGGCAAATCCTGCTGACCAGAAACAATAACCACAGTAAATTGATATGTGTCATGACCTCTCAGTGTGAAACATGCGGCTAAAATCCCCGCTAAAATCACGTTTGCTTTAGAACCTTCCAGAGCATAATCTACCCAGCAGAGGAAAAAAACTTTATTGGAAAGAGCAGCATTTTGGCATGAGACAAAAGTCGTGTAGGCTTCCCTTTTATTGCTCCGATCTTGAACACATTTACTTTACTACGTCATTTCCGTCACCATGTGTTGCGGTGCACACCGAACGAAAGCGCTCTCTAGAAGCCGTAAATTTCGGTCGCCGAAAATGAATTTGAACGCTTTCTTATGCCGTTTTCCTACAGTATTTGGCAAATACATAAGAATTCTAGATCAGGTTAGTAAAATCAGGCGATTTCATTCAATTCCATTTGAGTTTCAGGGATTCGAAAATCGGCCCCAAATTTGTTTCCTCCCTTTCCGTATTTTATACTGTAAGCCGAACTTGCGAGCCCTCAGTCTCTTGGTTTGCGGTCTATAGAATGTGTCACGAAACCGTAACGCGATCAAAATAACCCATTTTTTCAGAGGTTTTCGACGGGTTTTGATGTTCTAACGACAAACACATCTCCTCTGGACCCTGTGCAGATACTCCTCAATGTCGCTTTAACAATTCGAGGACCGTTTTTTTGCAGTGATTATAAGGCTCTTTGGCTTATTCGCTTTCCGCTGAACGAAATCCCATTGTCAGGCTGCAAGAGCTCTTTCACACTCCTGTTGATCGCATCTTCTCCATATCAAGTATAATATCGGGAACAAATGCAATTCGTCCAAATATACAACAATGATCCACGCTCAACTATTTCAAAGCCCTTTTAACAATTCTAAGTCCATTTCTTGCGGATGATATTATCAGTGTTCTTTAGAATATTTCCATTTATACAAAACCCATCTCTATAACTGATGTGTCGGGAAAAAAAATTCGCCTTACTAGTACCCTCTAGAATATTCCAAACATATGCGTAAAAGGCACTTGGAACAAAAGTAATACTAAGTAAGGGAGGTAAGAGTAAAGTGTTTAATCTGACTTTAACGAATAAATTAATGAGAATCGAGTGAGTGATCGAGTGCCATTCGAGTGCCTCCAAAAGCCCATGGCATGACTACGTGATCCATGAGCTAAAAAATACATTCACTTTTCTGGAAGGGAACGAGCATGTCATGTAATACTACTTCTCCATAATGAGCCCTTTGGCTTCTAGTACTGCCTACCCTCCTTCAGGAAGAAACGGAAGGGTATGGGCAGGCACAGTAATGGCAGAAAAATAAAAGTTTTGATCTTACTCCTTGAGACAATTTGTTTGAGGTAATGGAAGTAAACATTACCCGAGTATTTGACTACTTTGCCTGACTTGTCGTTACGTTCTCGAATTCCCACACTTTTCACTATCACCTTATCTGTCAAATTAAACGCTGTCCTACACTGTTCACATCTTTGTATACTCTTGGGACAAAGTTTGTTGTCGTCCCTGCTCACTAACTGGTACTGTTTACCATTAATTCTTTCTGGGTCCAAGAAATCCAGCGCAGGATTTCCTTTCGACGAGCTTTTTCTAACCTACAAGAAAAAAGGTTTCCGTCAATTACATTATTCCACAAAAGGGCCTATTGGTTTTCACGACAAGGGCCTATTTCATCCTACTCGTGATTCCCATAATAACGGGCCGTCTAAGTATCCATTTCATATTATGCTGCAGTGCTACCAAAAAATTGGTTTGAAACACAACACGACCAATATTACGATGACGAAAATAACAAATCAACAAACGAAAAAAAAGCACAAATATACAAACCAATAAACTACCTGAAATAGAATAGTTAGATAATTAAAAAAAGGCAGCGAAAAACAAAATTAAAACTAATAAACATACAATTGAAATTGTAAAAGTAAAGGAAATACGGTTACAATTACCTCCCACTGATTATGATTGGTGCCTTTGTAGAGTCGCAAGGGAGTCACCACTTGAGGCTCTGGATCTGTTCTATTTAGAAATAGCTCCGGCTCTGGAAGGTCGCGTCTTCGTACTTTCTTTGAGGGAGCTGCCTTGAGACCAGCAGCACTCGGCTTCTTGTAAGTGTTGTAAATTGCCGAAAACTCGACAAATGCTGCGCCTGTCGCTGGGGACCCCATTTATTCCAGGTGACGGAATCGACCAGGACGTGTTCATATCCAGGAGCAAGGCGATATATGCCCTAACCTCTTAAGGGCCTTTCCTTCTCTGCGTAGAATTCCTTGGTCCAACCTTCCAGTGTTTCTGTCACTTTGGCGACTTCTTTTGGCGCTTCGCTCTCCCGCAAGCGTTTCTTTTGTAGCTTATGTTTCAATTCAAGCCTGTTGGTATAGAAACGCCCGCTTAGCCCAAGTTATTGGCGAGCTGAATAAATGAGGCAGATCTTGAATTGTTCAGAGCGGTACTTGTCAAACCATTCATAAAAACCTGGGACCAGGCCATCCCAGACGTCCTTCAAGCTCGCTAGCTTTGCTTCAAAGTCAGCTGGTTCTTCTGAGTCGGCTAGACCGTTTTCAAGTTGTATCTGTTCTTGACATCCGCAGATGTCAGCCATGATTCTCCTTTGTGTCCTTTCGTTACATCCCATTGCTTTCAGCTTTTGGGCATCTCGTTCTTTCATGTGTTGTGTGCACCACACGTTTTGAGCCTCCTCAAAAATATCTGTCACGCCTTTGGCTATTGCCTTGTTGAGGTCATGACCAACCTTCTTGATTTTAAGTAGCTCTGGCTTGGCAATGGCTAATTCACCTGCAAACCTGCGATAGGTTTCGCGGTCCTTCTTAAAGTGCCAGAAACTAGGGCCCAGAAATTCAGGGTGTTTTCCGTTTCGGTGGTTTATCAGGGCCTCGTGACTGAAAGTGGTGTCTGTAAGCCACAAACCATCAACTAGTTCGAAGGTTGTGTCCACTTGCAATATACTGTTCCCAAGTACACAGAATCTGTGTATTTTAGTAAAGGACACAGTATTTATGCTTCATACACTCTTAAGACTCGATATCAACGATTCCGCTTCGCTGTGCTTCTCAGCAGCATCCCGTGTTTCGTCAGATGCTTTCTTGAGGAACTTTCAGTTTTCTATCATTTTTGGTCCTTAGATAGTTTCACTCACAGTTTGACAAACTTGTTTTGACATTGTAGCCTGTATGTTATCAACAGACAGTCCTTGGTCTAGATACTCGTCAATCGTCTCAGAAACTAAGGGGTCTTTCCGGAAATAAGCTGATACCGAAGGTTTCATGGCGTTACCATGGCGCTGCAAGATAAACTCTTTAGCTCCACCTACCCACTTATACATGACCAAATACCAAGGCTTTGGTTCTCGTTCATTGACTGCTTTAACTGTGACAAAAGTCCTTGAAAATGACGGGTTGGCTTTGTTCGTTTTGTAATATCTGGTAAGTTCATAAACCTCCTCCGTCGGAACATAATCCTTTTTGTAGCCTTTTGCTGCTTTTCTATTGGCAAAGAACACCCCATTTTCCAAATGGACTGTACGAGACCCAGAAGTACTGCTGTATTGGTAGTAGCGCTTTGCATTTCCTTGGGAAATGTATGCTCCGTTATCATCTGCTTCTGCAGAAGCTATAGGTATCACCCTCTGATCAAGAGTAAAAATCTTATCCTCCCTTATAGCAGAGGGCTTGTGTTTCAAATCTAGTTCTTCAGGATTGTCAAGCAGGATGTTTAGGATGGTACAATGGTCCATATCTTCTGTTGTTTTCAAGCTTATGAAAAAACAATAAGTTTCTGTTTGAATAACCTAGTTTTGATAAGTCGTAATCTATTACACATGGAGGACCCCATTTTTGAGATTCAAGTATAGATGAGGGTTTTATGAATACTAAGTGATTGATGAATGATGATTAAAAAAATATTGAATAAATAAATGAAGCAATGAATGAATGAATGAATGAATGAATGAATGAATGAATGAATGAATGAACAAAATGAATGGAAAATCGCATGGGATATCATGGGCAAAAGCAATAACCAATGCTATGCGGTCTTTTGCTGCGCTGCGCTATGTTATGTCGTGCTATGCCATCCCATTCCACCCTCCATCCTATCCTATCCTATCCTATCCTATTCCACTCCATCTTATCCTTTGATAAACTTTCTGCCAGCCTTATCATATCCGATCTCGTCCTACGCTTTGTATTCTATTCTGTTCCGTGCTGTTCTGCTCTGGTCTATAGTCTGTTCTGTTGCGTTAATTATTATTTATTCGCTTATGCTCCTACATGAGAAATGTCTGCAGCTTGATTAGCTTCTATCTTAATTTGAAGTACCTACAAGTGAAAAGTACGAACCTTTTGCGGGCAGTAGTATGATAAATTTAATTTATAAGCAATTTTGATATATCACGAGTGGTATTTATTATGCCAAATATCACTACAAATCATGCTATTATACCTATACTAATGCATTCACCCTAATCTTGTTTATTCGGTTCTATTCAAGGTCGCAACCTATTTGTAATAATAACTAAATAAAACATGTTTGTAAGTCCTAACTTTTAATTATTATGGGGGTAACTCGAGCAGAAACGCCATTCGCGTACCCTGTAGTGTAGGCTACTTACGGGAGATATCTAATGGACAGTCCAAACAAAACGGGAGTGACTAGTTCTGCTTCATTATATTTTAAAAACAAACTTTCCTAACACGTTCGTGATTATCCACTTTCACAGTCATACCAAAAAAACATTTATATTCTTCCTATTTATATAGATATATATTTATTTTCTGCAAATTACAGTGGAGACGAGGAGCATCCCCGTCGAGGCATTCTGCCTAAAGAACTCAGTCCGCGTCTTACTACCCAGTCTTTAGCCCGCATTTCATATACCTAGTCCGAGTTTTATATCCAGTCCGAAGTTTTATACCAAGTCCGTGCTTTATACTGACCCGGTTTTGGCTTACTGTAACAACAAGCTCAAATAGTTACGTACTTGTCTTTATCCATTAACAGAGGCTTGTTTTCTGTATCTTCTTTCATCTGTGGATAAAATGAAATGTAGGGAACTATTCTTGGGTTGCACGTGACGTCACCAAAAATCAAACTCAGAAACTATCCATTCTTTTGAGTTTCTACTTTCACGGGCTATTACAGTACCTAAACACCTTTACATAAACAAATTTTTGGTTCCAAAGGGTTCTTCGTTTTGCGAGAGAGGACGCTTGAATTTCCAGGCTTTTGCGTGACGCGGCATTTAGCTGGCGGCCGGGAAAGCTCTTATGTGGGTTAAAAACATTACCGATTTTGGGAGATTTTGCAATCTAAACATTCCTTGTCTCAGAATAAATATTACTGTAATCTTTATGAGTTCCTCAAGCGAAGAATTCACGCGTTACTAGAAAAATTCGAAAACAGATGTTTCTGTTGGTATCCGGCGGCCATATTGGTGTTCCTGAAAGGGACACCAACATGGCGTTTCCATACAAAGCTTTATAAATTTTGGTAAACCGTTTTTCCCAATATCTCGCATTTGAAATGTTTCACATACCTGATTCTTGGCAAGAGCTTTTGTATATTTATCTTTTTTCATTTCCCAGATTCTAGTCCTTCTGTATTGAATGGTTTGCATTTTTGTTTTTCATTGCGTGACAGTGCAAGCCGAGAATAATAATTATATTAGTCGCGGCAACGTTCTTCAACGATCTTCCCCTTTTTATTAGAAATATATCTTCAGTTAATGCTTTCAAGAAGGCTCTTAAAACTCATTTATTTCAGAAGGCGTTTCCCAGCTAATTTATTGTTTTTATTCTCTTTATTAAGAAGGATTTGTATGTAGGATTTTAAAGATTAATTTTTATTTTTAAATTGTTATTTGTACTAATTTTTAGGAACGATCTTTTTTTTTTTTTTTTGGGAATATGTACTAGGATTTAGGATTTTGTTGAGTCAATGTTATGCGCAGATGAAAATTTCTTTCCCTGGATTGATATTTGCGCAATACAAATCAATAAATATTATATTATTATATCATTATTAGTGGGCGTAACGGGTACAACTAAATAAAAGGCTATAAAAAAGAAAGTCAATTTTCCTATTTAATGAATATTTAGTCAAAAATGTCGTTATCAATAGTGCCACCCGCCTTAAGTTTAAAATTTAAAACGCGAGTTCAAAATCAAACTTTATAGAAAAAATCTGATGATGTTTTAGGGGATCTCAGTGGATTATAAACTTCGGAAGCGCCCGTCAAAGACTTCGAACTAGGTTCGATTTCCGCCGTCTCCCGGGTCCGGGCTTTGATCCTCCTCCTCCCGGGGGGGATGACTGTGGGCTCATTTTCCCGAACAGCGGCTGGTAATCGAGTCTAACTTCGAACCCGCTTCTCCCACTTTGGTTTGCATGGGCTCTCTGTGCAGTAGCCTCATCCATCGATAGCAGCTTCCGGAAAGAAAACAAATTGCCTCATTCATTTTCGGGTTTTAAATCTCAAAAATGTCTCCATAAATCCAGTTATGATGGGGTCTCAGAAACAGACAATGATGAACAGTCGTTGAACAAATCAGCAAGTGTCTTTCATCTTTGGCTGCTCGAAGCGTTCTCCTGATTTCCAAACTTAATGGCAGTATACTTCTTGTAAACGATTATGTGTATATATATACATTTGGAGAGTTTGCCAGACACGAGTTCACAAATCTTTGATTGGACACTCTGGGCGCTTTCCATTCAACCCAAAATTCCGGAAATTTTTGTTTGCACAAGGTTTGGTCCGACCCGAATATTCGGGATCAGCTCAGAAGGTAGTCCACTTTGATCGGTCTGGTCATTTCGATCTGTCGGACCGAAATGTCTCTTTCCATTTGGCAAAATTGTTGTTCTCAATACCGCTCTCTTGTATCCTGCTTACAAGAACAATAACCAAACGCGCGGTCGCGGTGGCTTGGGTCGGGTCTGAGCAACCGGAATGTACCGTTCCATTGGGCGCGTGGAATTTCCGAAATTTCAAAACGGAATTTTTGTTGAATGGAAAGCGCCCTCTTTCTCTCTCTTCGGGGCAAGCAAGACGAGTGAATCAACGGCTAGATTATCACTAGCAGAACGATGGATGATTACAGAATTCGCCGACAGTCATATTAGCTGTGGTCACACTACGGACTTTTACCTAGGTAAAACCGATTTACCTAGGGCAAATTCATCAAAAATCTTCCGAGGTAAATTCATCTCGGGATTTGTTTTACCTAGGTAAAAAATTCTGGGAAGGTCACACTCCTGTTATCGGCTCCCAAGGTTTTCATGCGCAGTTGAATTTTTTGGAGCATAAATTCAAGAAAGCAAGATGCGGAGGGATCTAGCCGGCAAAGAGACGTTTTTTCTTTGATCTTGCTGTTATTTCTTACGTTAATTCAACGTGTCAAGGTGAAACAGGCGAAGACGTAGCCGACCCGTACCCCCAAAATTTCTTTCACCGCGTGAGCTATGTCCGGTTCTGTCATCAAGACCTTCGCCGATGAGTAAAAATCAGTCACACTTAAAAAAATAAATGTTTCCTAGCAAAAAAGTCTGTAGTGTGACCACAGCTATTGTGTGCTGATTGATCAAACCTGTTCATTTCTAAGACTTACTCTCATGCAAATGAAATGAACTGTATGTAAAAAGTAAAAGAAAAATCGCGAAAAAATAAAGCTTCTAATTAATTTTTTTCTTATGGTTTAGAATAAATTATGTTTTCAGATCAAAGCAGCGTAAATCGAACTGAACCAGTGCATGGAACCTCGCGTTTCCTGTTTTTACTCTCACCTATTGTAAGTGTATGGAATATGAGTGAAAAATTTCATTATGAATCGGTATATTTCAAAAAGGTACACAACGATCAAGAATACTACTGACGACAATATACAGAGCGGGGGCAGCTCTTGAATGATTTCGATGTACCGAGGAGGAGGGCGGCAGGGATTAGTACTTTTGACACTCATGCAAGATGGCAGCCCGTAACGCACAGCGCTCGATCTCGACGATATTACGCGAAAATAGGGGACTGTGAACAGTCTATATATTAGTCTCCGTGAACAGCTTTTGTTACTCACCTTTCGTATTTTCTTTGGAAGGATACCTTCTTCATTTTCTTCATCTTCATCTGAATCGAGTACCACTATGGCTAAAAAAACAGTCACATTAGGTATTATATAATATAACGTCGTGGTTTTCAGTCGGGCTGGCGGAGATAAGAACTAGACGGATTTTAAGAGAAAAGGCGGACTACATATTCCAGATCTCGCACCATATGTAATCACTGGTGACATGTGACATGTGACATTTTAAACATGATTTTAAAACAATTAAAAATCACAAACAATAAGTTTTTGCTTAAATTATAATCAAATTGTTGATGAGTTTCACAAGAGAGAGTAAACAAAATCAACCTTATATCCCAGCCCTAACAACATAAGAGGACAGCGCGGTGGAAGTTTTGTGCGAAGCCAATGGTTGATGATACAAGGGATCAGGGAGAGTAAGATTTTAGGGAGAAGTGGCTGTTTTGTTCAGCTGTTTTGTTCGATTGTCGTATTTCATGTACGTGACATGTTGTCGTCTCGCCTTATTTCAGACCCTGTTTTAGATTGTTTGCGAGTGGTTGTAGATGTTTTTGAGGTGGTTGTAGGTGGTTGTTGAATTTTTTGAGGTGGTTGTAGGTGGTTGTAGATGGTTTTAGGTGGTTTTAGGTCGTTCCATGTTTTAGTAACTACGAACTTC